TTCCTTAAGTTTTGTGCTTGCAAACTCAAGTAAACCCAACCCAGCCCACCCCCACCCCCAGATTTTCTTAAAAATCGAGTACAAAGAAAAAAAAATAGGTTGGTAAATGTACATAAAGCACCCCACATCGTATGAGTGGACATGCTTATTTTAAAATTTTGCCAAATTGACACAGTTATGTAAGCAGTTATGAGCCTAGCAAAAGTGTATCCGTGGTTTTAGAGCAGTGTTTCTCAACCTTGACAATTTTAAGGCATGTGGACTTCAACTCCCAGAATTCCACAGCCAGCAATGCTGGCTGTGGAATTCTGGGAGTTGAAGTCCACATGCCTTAAAATTGTCAAGGTTGAGAAACACTGTTTTAGAAGGTGATCAGCCAACCTCAGTTTCTAAGTTCAGCTAAAGCGTTATTATGGAAAACATCTACTTATTAGCGCAGGGGTCCCCAAATTGGGCTGCGGCCTATTGGCCACGGGGCCGTGTAAGTGGCTGGCCGGTGTGTGTGTGAGCTTTGTGGGCCCCACTCGAGTATCACAAGCACTTGCAGCCCCTTGCATGAGCGTTGTCGTGTCGAGGGCATCCGCGGCCCCGCTCACACGAGCGTTGCAAGCGCTCACGGCCCCCCTCGTGTGCATGTGTTCACTCCCCCGCCACAAAACCATCCCTTCTTTCCTCCCTCTCCCCCGTTTTGGACCGCCAACGCCAAAAGGTTGAGGAACTCTGTGTTAGAGCAGTGTTAAAAGGCAAGATTTTTCACAGTATCCCGTCACCCTTCAATTTAAATTGAAATCCTACATCATTCTAGTGCAGGGGTAGGCAACCTTGGCTCTTTTTATGACTCGTGGACTTCAACTCCCAGAATTCCTGAGCCAGCCATGCTGAGGGGAAAGGGAGAGGTTTCCAAGCTGAGCCATGCTGGCTCAGGAATTCTGGGAGTTGAAGTCCACGAGTCAAAAAAGAGTCAAGGTTGCCTACCCCTGGTCTAGTGACTCTAAGCATCTGCAAAGCGAGCTTCTGCTCATGAAAACGTGCGCTGTTTAATAAAATTTGTTAGTTGGACATTTGTGATTTCCCCGCCACCACCACCACACATCTAGCATGGCTCTGTGCCATGTCATACTGACTCCTTTCTCTCAGCATAGGTCGTTCAATAAGGGGGTCACTCATAGTAGCAGTTATGGGGCTGCCCCACCATCCAACCGATTACCTGAGTTAGCTCAGACGTAATATTTAACTAAGAGAGAAATCTAATATTGAAGCAGTCCTCATTTCACTGGGGTCTTTGCAGCCCTAATGAGCATTATGTGTGCAGACTTGATTACAAAAACCTCCACGCTGCCGAAAGTAGGTTGTAAAATTACCCATGTAAAGTTCCAACTGACAAAAACTTTTGAGGGAGGAAATACCTATTAAGCCACGTTTTCTAATATAACAAATCAAACGTTCAATCTACCCCATGAAAACTAAATAATGCAAAACGGATCCTTGGAAAGAGATCCTAACTTCACAGAAGTAAAAAGAGAGGAAGCTACGGGTTAATAGCAATTTTCTCTCCACTTTAGGGACAGAGGTGAATTTTACATCTTGCGTACTTCAAGACTCCGTGCCAACCCAGATATAGGGACAATAAGCCCATTCAAATCAATAAGCACTATTCTGTTGGAAAACAGCGCAAGCCTTCATTATTAATATTTATGTCAGTGGTTCTCAACCTTTTTAATGCCGCGACCCCAACAGGTCGTAAGTCGAGGACTAAACCGGTCGTAAGTCGAGGACTATCCAACCGGTCGTAAGTCGAGGACTTTCCCTGCCCGGGAGCGCCGCACATGCGTGGTTCCGCCCCCTGCGCCGGCCGAGGCGTAGCTGGCAAGCGGCAGAGACGGAGCAGGCCGACCACCAGCTGGCCCAGCCCAAGGGAGGTAAGGCACCCGCCGGAAAAGGGAAAAAAATGGCGGACAAAAAAATGGCGGACAGCCTTGCTTGGCGACCCCCGTGAAATGGTCAATCGACCCGAAATGGGGTCCCAACCCACAGGTTGAGAACCACTGATTTATGTGCTAAGATATTGTGGAAATTTCACAGAAGAGGAGAAAATAACTTTATAGCTTCTTTTGTTTAAGAAAAAAGCAGAGCACGAATGATAGGAAATAGGTTTGGAATACCTGACTAAAACTACATGCGTACTTTAAAGTTCTTTGATAGGCTGCCTTCCTGTATCGTAATCAACCATGGGATAATCTTCCTATATATTTTTTTTAATCAAGTTAGACTCAGTTTTGCAGAGGGGCAAAGTAATTTTTAGCTTTGGGCAATTTTAAATTTGTGTTCCTTCTTTATTCTTGTTTCTGAGGCACCCAATTAAAGTGGTTCTTGGTGGATTCTTGGTGGAGTACAAAATCAAAGCAAAAATGAATCGGGCAACCACCCAGCCATACATAGTTGTTCATTTTCCACATTAACTCAAGGTTGCAGTCAGCGAGCCAACAACAAACTATGGTTTCAAACTCTAATTTAATGCCCTAAAGCAGTGATGGCGAACCTTTTAGAGACTGAGTGCCCAAACTGCAACCCAAAACCCAATTATACATCGTCGGGTGCTGGGTGGGTGTGGCCCATTGGGTGGGCATGGCTGCAGTGGTAACGGCAGACTGGGTGGGGACTAAAAAGTTCAATCAATCAATTCCAACTTTGCAAGATTTTTTTTTTCCCGCGAGAAGTTGAAATTGACTGATTGATTGAACCTTTTTTTTTGCACATGGCGGCGGAGGCCTAAAGCGAAAAGGTTTTATAAAACCCAGCTGAAGGCCTAGGACTGGGGCGATGGCGTGCGTGCCCACAGAGAGGGCTCTGAGTGCCGCCTCTGGCACCCGTGCCATAGGTTCGCTACCACTGCCCTAAAGTAAACCATGGTTTCATTCACGCAATACACTCAGCCCCAAACAAGCAAACTGTATTATGGCTTAAAATAATAAGGAAACTACCCATTTTTAAAAGTGTCCAGATACACATTTCGAGCAAAGTTCAATGCGTGTCATCCAGTCAGTCAGTTGTGTTGTTATTGGTAACACAGAGAGCCTACATATCTACTCCATTTTTCTCCCATTGGGATTCTGAGATTGAGAAATGGCAGGCTCTGGATGAACCACAACAAGATTAACCAATAAAAGTATATTGGAACCACTATATGGTGTAATATGCAAGCAGAGCTTTAAGTTGTCACAAAATATATTAGCAACCTGCTATGAGTAGCAAACATTGGCAAACACACCATAAACATATCTGTATATGACAGTAAAGCAAAACACATATTTAAATGAAAAGAACTGATATTCTTGTAGTGGGATAAACATTTCATTAATACAAATATTATGCAAACTGTATTTGTTGGCTATTCACATTATTGCTCTGCTACATGAAGAACAGGCCCTTAAAATATGTTATATTTCGCCTACATTAAAATCCAGAAACAAATGTTTCAGAAGTAACTGCATACAACAGGCATTAAACTTAATACATGAAGATATGCACAGCCAAGAAATTAAAAACTGGCCCGACCAAAGCATATTATTACATACTCATATTTTTTTAAATGTTTCCTTGTGCAAACAATAAAACAGAAAGCTAGCTATGTAAACATGGAATTTAAAAGTTAGAATGCAGTATTTACTCCAGACATTCAGTAAACTATTAATTCAAATAACCATTTTAAAAAAAAATTCATCCACCTGAAATACAGATGTAAAATCAAGACATTAACAACACATTGCTAGCATCTGGTACAATGCTGTTAATGTTATACACACAAAAGGCCCCAACCCAAGGGAAAGCTTCAAAATAAAGGAAGGAGAATATTTTTTGTTGTTGTTGCGCTTAAGTCCTAATGAAATAAACAGAACTTGACAGCATTGGAAAGAACTAACTAGGCCCAATGGTTTTAATGGGATTTAAATACAGCTTTCTATGGGTTGGAGCCAAACACTGTAACATTCAAATAACTCAAAACTACTGGAATATTAACAAATATATCCTGTCCGTCTTGCATCCTTGTGTACTATTCAATTCTGGTAAACAATGAGAAAGCTGTTACATGGCATGGACCACAATACACGCTAGCTTGCGCGCGCCGACAGACATGTTCATTCTCTCGTTCACTCTCCCTTTTCTCACAAGCACCCACACAAAGACATATGGAGTTGGTATAAAACAAAATATCGCTTTATTTTTTTTTTTGTTCCACCATGATTAAGAGATTAGGAATAGAACCCTGGGTTCTCTATTCAGCCACTTCGAAATCTCTTAGCCACAGGAAGATTATCTACTGTTGTCCATGCAGCAGCCCTCTTAGGAAATACTAGTCAATTTTACAGTCCTGAGCAGGATGACCCATTAAGACACCTGCAAATCTGCTACTCAAGTCTTCTCGTGGAGAAATAGCAATCCATGTTCAAGTTTCTTGGGGAGGAACGTCTTCCAAGCAGGCAGGATTTCTTCAAGGTACAAGAAAAGGAATGGATGTTAGGGCTATGAAGGAATACTGCTTGTTGGCTCAGAAGAGACTGATATTATATCCCAGAGAGGAGGACGAAAAAAAAGACCAAAAACCTGACACAAACAGATATTGTCATCAGCCAAATAAGGTGAGATTTAGACTTACGAGATGCAAGTGCATAGGTTAAAATGATTGCCAATTTTCATGTCTATCTTGGGGCTAGAATGCTTATAGCTATTTTCATTTGTACACAATAGCTACGTCTATATACACATAGAAACACACACGCGTATGTATGTGTGTGCGTATTCAAACACAGACCCACATATATTACCCATACCTCAAGACTCTGGAAACCGGGGTTCGTTAACAGAAAGGGGAAAGGTAATAATTTAAACCACACAGAATGCGATCTGTCAAATCGGACAAAAATGAACTTTGAACACGTCGTTCAAAAAAACAAAACAAAAAAAATCCAAAAAGAAAGAGAAAAGGACGAAGAACACCACAAGATATCCTGTAGAACCAACTCTGTTATCATCACGGGGAGAGCACCAAGCAAGGCACCGTTGGAAATGAAACATACTCAGGAAGTCTCTGTGTAAAGCAAACGCTAATCCGGTTGAAAAATTGGTGTCTTTGGTAAAAATTCTATAAGAATGACCTGTTGAAACAGAAAGGGGGAAAAAAAACAATAATTAACATGATTAACCTAAAAATAATAATGATATTTTTAAATAATTAAAAAGAACAGCACTGTATATTTTTCAAAGTTTCTTAGTAAAAGCTCTCCGCAGGACCAGGGAATATAAAACCCATGACCAGAATCCAACTGACGTCAGGCAAAGCCAAGAGAGCTTTTAATTGGCTTTTTTATGTTGCTCCCTTACTGTACACAAGCAATTTGTTTTTTGAATTTCCTCCCAGTTTAAAAACATTTTTGCAACTGACATGTATGTGGTCAGGAACAAAGTTAGTTTCTCCTAAAACATATAAGGAACGGTTGCTGGAATTGGGTATGTCTAGTTTAATGAAGAGAAGGACGAGGGGGGACATGATAGCAGTGTTCCAGTATCTCAGGGGCTGCCACAAAGAAGAGGGAGTCAAGCTATTCTCCAAAGTGCCTGAAGGCAGGAGAAGAAGCAATGGATGGAAACTAATCAAGGAGAGAAGCAACCTAGAACTGAGGAGAAACTTCCTGACAGTTAGAACAATTAACCAATGGAACAACCTGCCTCCGGAAGTGGTGAATGCTCCAACACTGGAAGTTTTTAAGAAGAGACTGGACAGCCATTTGTCTGAAATGGTATAGGGTTTCCTGCCTGAGCATGGGTTGGACTAGATGACCTCCAAGGTCCCTTCCAACATCATCATCATCATTATTATTATTATTATTATCATCATCATCATCATCATCACCATTTAATTTATTTAATCTTTTAATTCGGAGATTTTAGGGGTTGCATCTCAGGGGCTGCCCCAAAGAAGAGGGAGTCAAGCTATCCTCCAAAGCACCTGAAGGCAGGACAAGAAGCAGTGGATGGAAACTAATCAAGGAGAGAAGCAACCTAGAACTAAGGAGAAACTTCCTGACAGTGAGAATAATTAACCAATGGAACAACCTGCCTCCAGAAGCGGTGAATGCGCCAACACTGGAAGATTTTAAGAAGAGACTGGACAGCCATTTGTCCGAAATGGTATAGGGTTTCCTGCCTGAGCAGGGGGTTGGACTTGATGACCTCCAAGGTCCCTTCCAACTCTATTATTATTATTATTATTATTATTATTATTATTATTATTATTATTATTATTATTATTATTATTATTATTATTATTATTATTATTACTATTCGTTAAAATATCTATCTATCTATCTATCTATCTATCTATCTATTTGTTAAAATATCTATCTATCATCTATCTATCTATCTATCTATCTATCTATCTATCTATCTATCTATCTATCTATCTATCTATCTATCTAACGAAGTCGTTTGCCCTTGCCTTCGTCTTCCTAGGGCTGAGAGAGGTCAGTCAGCTGGCTTCAGTGGCTAAGGCAGGATTAGAACTTATGGTTTCTAGCCCAACTGGGTCTCTATCTGTTTTAACGATCCCAGCATGTTTTCAGCTGGACAGCATCTCTCCAAGACCAATGGAATGTATTTTACACATCGATTCTAGTGTGATCCTTTTAACTGGAAACAGGAAGAAGGAACCAGGGACTCGGGCGCATAACACATCACTTCTGCTACCCAGCTATTTGTGCTAGCTGCCCACTTGGCAAACTGTGATCCCCTGTGATCCCCTGCCACCGGCTGCTGCTTATGGTCAGTGTCCGGCGGGGGGGGGGGGAATAGGAAGCTGAAATAATGGTAATCCTACCTACATTTGTGAACTCCCTGAATACATACAGCTAAAGACTGAGAAACCCATGTCCCAAGCTTTGTTTGGGCACTCGGGAACCGTTGCCCTGTTCCTTGCACCCCTGCCAATGGATGACATGTACTACAATAGTGGCCAAAATTGTGGAAACCTTTTGGGAAAAGTATGCAGTAGAAATGCCACCTTTGGTTAAGTTTCCACCCATTTTTCTTCTAATTTCTTTATAACTGTTGCCTTGTTCACTTAATAATACTATTTTACATCGCTTCCTGGGCATCCAGTCAACTCTTTGCACCATTACTTTAATTTTATTACGTTTTGCAAGCTCACTAAATGAAAGAACACAAAAAAAACCCCAACCAACTTGATAGCCATCACATAACACACTGACAAATGTCCTCCTCTCAGCTTCAATACATGACATCAATAACTGAATCTACTGTGATCTGATTGGCTCATTGCCAAAACACCTGAGTGGCTCTCTAAACACTTACGCTCATTGGCTACAATCTGATGAAGGAAAGCTACCTGAGATCAACCTAAGCAAGGTGTGCTTCCTTTTTCTGGTTATTTTGGGTATAACTTTTCATAGAATACAGTACAGATAATTGAACAAACTTTGTTGCATTACATTCTTGATGAAATTATCTTTCCATTGATATATAATTTTATGGTACTACTCCCAAAAAAAAAGTGGTGTTATTAGCCATCAAACCTCAAAAATACATTTTTCCCAAAAGTTTTCCACAATTTTGGCCACTACTGTATACAAAAACATGCATTTCTCAGAAAAAGGTTTGGTTAATCAGTTATACTCAAGATAAAAATACACATGGATAGTTATCCAAGATATCAACGTAGGCCTTGATCCAAAGAAAGTTGCGGCTAATCTTATGTGACCAACAGGAGTGTGGGTTTGCATTTTTCAAACTGGAATGCCCCCATACCACATGTGAGGAACCATTTCCATGCCTGGAAGGAATGTCAAAACGCAGACAACCTTTGTCATCCTTGAACACAATATGGTCATATAGAGAGTCAAAATGCTTTCCCTAACTGTTCCATGTGCAGGGATAGGCAACCTTGGCTCTTTTATGACTCATGGACTTCAACTCCCAGAATTCCTGAGTCAGCTATGCTGAGTCATAAAAGAGCCGAGGTTGCCTACCCCTGGGATAGGGCCTACTTGGAAAACGCAGGCGGCCTGTACACGCACCTTTTACTATGTCAAAATTCTCTTTGTCAAACAGCTACTAACCATTTCAGAGCAATTAATTCTGAAGGTTAACTAAGAGGAAGAGAATGTAATGGCTCCAATGTAAATCTATTGCCATTCGACCCAAGTAACTCCAATTACAACAGCTTTCGTCAATATTTTCATATTATTCCTCCTGGCTCCTCTTTCCCACTGGTCTTTAGAGTCTACTAGGTTTCCAGGAGCAAATTATTCATCACGATTAATCTAAAATAAAATTCTTTTTTAGAATTAGCTTGAAGGGAGGGCAGCAAATGTTACGTCTGCAACTTAGATTAGTGGAAGTATTGCCTTATTAAAATGTTATGTCATCAGATACAGGTGACCGTGTTCTGCAATATAAAAGAAAGTTTTAAACCAAGCTGCAAGATTAGTTTTAATTGTTAGCACAACAATATTTATGTCTAACAGGCCATTTAGTCTTCCAAAACAGGCAAGTGAGCTGCTTCTTTCAGTGTATTTTATCTCCCGAGAAAATACAAATTCTGAAAATATGATGGAATACTTGCCACGCTGATCTTGTAAGACTCTTGCCTGAGTGAAATGTTTACTCCATCTCAAGAGACTGTCAAAGATTACGCTAAGTTAAAAATCTTCAACTTCTGCATATCATTTTTATATCTGAGAATAATCTGCGTAAGTATTACAAAGCAACTGTGTGATATGAGAAATGGCAGAAATTTGTAGATCCCCTCCGGCGATCTACTGGATTAGAGATTACCTAGACGCTTGCTCCTGGGGAGGAAAGCTATGGCAAATCTAGACAGCATACTAAAAAGCAGAGACATCACCCTGCCAACAAAAGTGTGTATAGTCAAGGCCATGGTTTTCCCAGTTGCAATGTATGGATGTGAAAGCTGGACCATAAGAAAGGCTGAGTGCCAAAGAATCGAGGCCTTTGAACTATGGTGCTGGAGAAGACTCCTGCGAGTCCCCTGGACTGCAAGGCGATCAAACCGGTCAGTCCTAGAGGAGATCAACCCTGACTGCTCTTTAGAAGGCCAGATCCTGAAGTTGAAACTCAAGTCCTTTGGCCACCTAATGAGAAGGAAGGACTCACTGGAGAAGAGCCTAATGCTGGGAAAGATTGAGGGCAATAGAAGAAGGGGACAACAGAGAATGAGGTGGCTGGATGGAGTCACTGAAGCAGTAGGCGTGAGCTTCAATGGACTCCAGAAGATGGTAGAGGACAGGAAGGCCTGGAGGAACGTTGTCCATGGGGTCGCGATGGGTCGGACACGACTTCGCAACAACAACTGCAGTTTGGACTCCTTTTGCCATCCAAACATATCTTGCAGTACAAATATATGTGACAACCAGACAGGTATGTACAGTAAAAGTGCAGGCTAAGTTACGCAAATGTAAAATTGAGTTGTGTCATTCCCTGTGTTCTCGTTTCTAATACTAAATGTTAAAGTATTTTAACGGTAAATACTAAAGCTGGGCAGCATTTCATATTCAAAGGTAAACTGGCACTTTGAAGCAGATAGTAGCACGCTCATAATACCTAGTAGCAACTGCTTAAAGCAGCTGCATCTTTTCCCAGGATCGTGCGGCTGCCTCCACCGTTGCAGCGTGATCCTGTGAAAATATGCACGTGGTTTAAGGAAGTTACCATGCGTGCACACTCATGTGCTCCAAAGCACCTTTTATTTATTTTATTTATAATTTAATTTGTATCCCGCCCTTCTCCTCACCGGACTCAGGGCGGCTAACAGCCTTATAAAACAACATTACAATAAATATCCATATTAAAACCAAATTAAAAGAAAATATTCGTAAAGGCCAATCGTTAAAATTACCCTTAAAATTACCCTTAAAAACCCCACTAAAATTTCCCCCTTCAAATCTGAAATTCTGCACAGCTGCTTTCTAAACTGACCTGGAATCTGTTGTATGAATTATACTATTATTATTATTATTATTATTATTATTATTATTATTATTATTATTATTATTATTATTATTATTATTATTATTATTATTAATAATAATAATAATAATAATAGTAAAGTTGGAAGGGATCTTGGAGGTCATCTAGTCCAACCCCCTGCTCAGGCAGGAAACCCTACACCATTTCGGACAACTGGCTGTCCAGTCTCTTCTTAAAAAACCTCCAGTGTTGGAGCATTCACCGCTTCTGGAGGCAGGTTGTTCCACTGGTTAATTGTTCTAACTGTCAGGAAGTTTCTCCTTAGTTCCAGGTTGCTTCTCTCCTTAATTAGTTTCCTTCTATTTGTTTCCTGTCCTGCCTTCGGGTGCTTTGGAGAATAGCTTGACTCCCTCTTCTTTGGGGCAGCCCCTGAGATACTGGAACATGGCTATCATGTCCCCCCTCATCCTTCTCTTCATTAAACTAGACATACCCAATTCCAGCAACCATTCCTTATATATTTTAGCCTCCAGTCCCCTAATCATCTTTGTTGCTCTTCTCTGTACTCTTTCTAGAGTCTCAACATCTTTTTTACATCGTGGTGACCAAAACTGGATGCAGTATTCCAAGTGTGGCCTTACCAAGGCATTGCAAAGTGGTATTAACACTTCACGTGATCAATAGGCTTAAAGGCTAGGATATTAACTTATTACCCTCTGAACACCTTACTGGAAAAATGGTAATTGTAATCATCGTTATCTCTATATGAGCATGCAAAACGTCTATTATTTTTTATTATGGTCTTATAAAGGCCAGAAGCTTGAAGTAATTATTAAAATAAAGTGCTGAATTGAATTCTTTACATAGCCAATCTTAAAAACCAGTGCCAAAAATTCTTTTCTTGCCTTCAATTACTGCAAAGTTATCATGTGTCTACTATCATAAATTAACATGTTCGCTATAATAGATGATCATAAATTAACATGTTAAGTATAATAGATGTTAAAAAGAAACAGTTGGTTGAATAGAGCTACTCCGTAAAAAGGGCATTTTAGGCAGTCTTTTATGTTTTAGGCTAGATATAGGCCTTAGTATTTCCTCTTTTTCAGTGCTAACAGAAAAGATGATTTTAAGATAATTTGTAACTATTTAAGCACTGTTTTAAATCAATCTTCTAACATACTGTCTATAATGCGTGCATTGTGTTAAATAATAGACAAGATATATAATTAAAAGGCATGGATGTGTTAGAAATAGCTAAAGCAAAGATACTTTTGCAGGTTAGTCTTAATTTGTTAACCCCTGCTTATATCTTTAAATTTTTTCATAATGCTGGTGTGTTTTGCAAGAGTATATTTGTTACAGGGCAAACAGGACTGATTTTAATGACAGTCCATTCCCCTTGTGCACCCCAGAAAAATATGAAGAACAATAAAGCAGAATGATTTTGATTGCAAAATCTGCAAAAAGGAAGAGCTTTTGCATCCGTCAAAAGTCTTTATAAAAACATGCAAAAGTTCTGCTTCAGAAGCAGGAAAAAGAAGACGACCTAAACTTCCTTTCTTACAATCAAGGCTTTTAAAAAAAAAACATTAAGAGTGAAGGCAGCACTTTCAGGATTGCTAGTGAGAGATGGGAGCAGTTAAAATCTACAAAGTCTTTATAGAGTTCCTGAGCTCCAGCAGGCTCAGTTGAAAGGTCTTTTTCCATACGCCAAGACTTGATTAGCATTATATAAAACAGCCCGCGTCTAATTCACTGCGTAACCAAAGTTGCAGTTTATTCTTTTTATGCAGCATTTGAAAATTTCACACTCCATCAGCACATGTGCGAGCCATTTTATCTTGGCAATTAATTTATTATTTTTTTTCTCCTCCTCTCCAAGGGCACAAGTGAAGCCTTGTTTTTTTTCCAAGTCATTCATAACTTTATAAATCAGCCCTGCGCACGAAACCATACATCGGTGAACCGTAGAAAATCCTCGCCACTCAGGCGATTAAGCCTCCTGACACCTTTGCTGATTAATAATCGTGGAAAGAATAAGATCAGAAGCAAAATAAATGATCATTTAATAGAGAGACGCACAAAACAGCCCTTTAACTTACATATTCCATCATGTTATTCGATTCACATTTCCTTTTGCTCAGCCTCCAATGCAAGCACAGCTAGACAGCGGAGAGAAAGGGGGAGAAGAAAAATGAGCGACGCATTTTATGGCCGGCGCTGAGACTAACCCCATTTGTCCAGCTTTCATATTTTGCATTCAACAAAAGCATCTGTTTCCATACTGCCCAACTCCAGCCCCAGCAGTACGAAGCTGCTCCCTGCAGCACTCACCTTGTGGTATAATCTATTGTTTTCCCATTCTAATAACTTCTCAATCGATCTTCGTGTCTAGAAGGCAAATAAAAAGAATTTTACTCCCGAGTTGCTTTAGAGAGAGAGAGAGAGAGAGAGAGAAAAAAAAGTTTGTTTTGCAACCGCCCGCCTCTATGTGAAAATGTTTTTGGCAGAAAGAGACACAGGAGGGGGAACTCGGTAAAAGAGTCCTAGTAATAAGAGGTTATGCATGATTGTAGAGAGTAAAATGGAAGCATTTTAGGAAATACCCAAATAGTTGGAAAACTTATTCATTAACAAAGGTTTTCAGGAACAGAGTCATTCATTCACAGCCCACTGAATCTGATCTAATGGAATTCATTTGCTACACACGAACGACAGGAATTTTCACATAAAATAGATACGGGTTGTAAATCCGTGCTCTCTCTCGTTTTAACACGTCGTGTAAAACTATGCCAAAGCATTTGCAAGGTATGGATCCTTCAATCTCTTGCACCTCAGTCCTGTGTTTTAAACACGGGAATTAAATCTCCCTGCAAACCTGAATGCTTCAAAACGTGAAGCATTCGGGAAGCGTCCTGATTGAGTTATATTAGAAAATACAGCCTGCTGCTTATAGTCATTTGACGGCTGTATCGTCAACCGCAGGGCGAGAAGATGGGGTTTATAGTCTTTATGCATAAGGATAAATCACGGCGCCAGGTGTTGAGATGAGACCAGGGCTGCAGGTGCAAAGGCATGGATCACTGAGCCTTGTGGCAAATTCAACTTTGTACAGCTGCAGTTTCCTTATAAGGCAAAGAGAGGGGGGGGCTTTGAGGGAGGGAGGGGGGAGGGAGGGGGTGGAAAAGCATTTTGCGCTTCAACCGAAGCTAAACAAGAGGTGTTATAAACTGCATCCTGGTCCGGCTTGAGATTTTATTTTATTTTTTAAATTAAACTTATTCCCCAAAGTTATTTGAATGTAGTCAAAAAAAAAAAAAAAAAAAGCAAAACAGTATGCGAATTGTTCTATACCTACGCACAAATATGTATGTGCTAATATAAAGAGAGAGAGAGAGAGAGGGGAAAAAAGATTCTTTGCATTTCCAACCAAACACAAACGCAACAAATCTCAGCAGTGCCTAGATTTAAAAAAATAAAATAAAAATCAACTATTATGGAATTGAATCGAAAAGTTTTTGTACCATCTTTTTTTTCCTAAAAAGGAGGAGGGATTCCAAGAAACTCTAAGCCACCTTTTTTTAATAGCAGCGACTAAAATTACCGCATTGTAAGGGTTGTTGGTTTTTTTTTTTTTGAAGTTCTGTTACTTTTGGCTAATACTTTTTTATGTTATTTCGTGAAAGGCAGTGCCTGCCCTTTAACAACGGATCAGCAGACCTCTCTTGTTCCTTTGGAAAGATAGCCTTTTAGAGTCCGCTCTCCTTTTAAAATGAAAACGGGGCAGCAGTTTATGGTCACACTTTTGTTAATTTAGTTGCCAGTCAGCCCCAAATCAAAAGAAAATAAGGCTGCAGAGTGTAATTAACATTCAGTTCAGTCGTTCCTGTCCCTTGTCTAGCCCCCTCAGCTTTGTTCGAATTGCCATCTGAATGCTGAAGGCTGTAGGGAAATCGATTTGATTCTAATCGCACCATGAAAAGAACATGATCTAACTGCTTTCAGCCCTCAGTAAATCTGTACCGGGTCTTTAGCACAATGCAACTTTCCAATTTAAAAAGCACTGAACGTCTCGTCAATGACTTCGGAGGGGAAGGGGAAAAAAAAAAAAAAAAGAAAAGAACAAGGCGCAGACATAAAAATTCCAATAGTTGTTTAAGCATTAGAGCTCATTTGCATCACAGCAAACCTGAAAAGGGCTGACCTCTCCAAACCCGCCTCTCAGGTCTATGAAGTTGTAGCCTTGACAAGCTCACATTGACAGAGCTCATTGACTCTGAAAGGCTACTCTATCAATGGTGAAAAATGGCAGTAGGGTCTTACTCCCGAGCAGGCATCTGCCTGCCCGCCCCACCCGCTGCTAAACCAATGGCACAAAAAAAAACAAAAAACGATTTGGAAACGCGAAGCTACCTTGTAATCTTTCTCGCCCGGGCCTTTTAAAATAATAGATTTGCGTGGCGGCGGCGGCTGTACAATTTAAATTTCATTGCTTGCGCGGAGGGGAAGGAGAAAGAAACCGGCTTCCCAAATACTACTAGTACAATTAAAACACTTTACATTATAAATAGGAAACTGAATACAGGGGGGAGATTCAATGCAGCCCTCGGAAGGAGCCTGCTGTACATTTAAAAGGGGGAAAAAAAACACAAATTGAACATTTCATTACTGTTAACTCTTAATTTGGAGGAGGTCTTTTAAGCACAAACTGAACGGCGAAAACCCGTTTTATCTAAAAAAATAAAAATAAAATAAAAACAATATTAAACGAGCGATAGGCAGGTGGGAAACAAACTTTGTGTTTTTATGCTTTCCTGTCAATTTATCCCACGCCCGAGGTTTAATGTAGATCCCGCTGACGTTCCCCCTCTGTAAAAATATTCCATTTTTGTAAAATCATTTCATCATTACATAAATGCTGCAAGTATTTTAGATCTGCTCAAACCCTGGCCACTAAACAAACTGTGAATGAACATTTAAATGAAGCCTCTGCAAATCCCTGGAAGGCTGAGGAAGAAAAGGTGACTTAAAGAGCATCCCTCAATTCTTAGATCAAGCTTCCTTTTCTCTATTGGCCAGGTGGAAAAAAAGAGAGACTTGCATGTGCAGCTTAATTAATCACAATACTTGACAGCCCAGTGATTTACAGCCAGGAGGAGCAGGTGAGGACATTTACAGCCCAAGAGAGGCTCTTGATTTGAGACCAACACTGGGAAGGAATGCCCTGTAGATTTTCAATCACAGGCATATAGAAAACTTTCGAAGAACATCTGACAATGTAAGACACAAGTAAAGGGGGAAAGACATCAGGAAGATTTTGAACACTACTAATTTTAATTTAATTTTTTTTAAATTTTATTAAATTTATACCCCGCCCTTCTCCTGGCGGACTCACTGTGTTTTCTTTCCAAAAAAAACCCCACAGATTAGTACTTCTTATTTGAGAACAAGGCATGGTTATTTATGTAAACCACTTCAACCAAATAGTTCTTAGATAAATAGTTCTTAGATAAATAAAAGGGCCA